GCAAATATAGACAGCAAGTCATTGAGCTGGGAGTGATTTGCATGCCGAGAGAGATCACAGGGATCGTCTTTTCAAATCCTGCAGTACTGGAGGTGTTTGCTAGCAGCTGGGCTTTTGCGTGAATCCAAGGAGAGAGCTTTTGGATCTCTCGTCTCAACAGAGTGGCTTGGCCAGAGAGGCCACTTTTCCTTGTGGATGTGTCCCAGTGTGAGCAGAGCTTTCTGGAGAGGATGCCCTCCTCACCTGCATTGATCTTCATGGTCATCTTCTTCCTGGAGTCGTTGGCTGCAGTGCTGCAGAATGGCTTCATAGTTACTGTGTTGGGCAGGGAGTGGGTGTGACGCCAGGTGCTGCCCGCAGGTAACATGATTATGGCCTTCCTGGCTGCCTGGTTCTGCCTGGATGGGGTGGCCATCCTTAACAACCTCTTGACCTTCTTTGAAATGGACTATTACCACATCTGGAACTTCATCAACACTCCTGCTTCCTGTCGCACTGCCTGGCTTGCCGTCTTCTACTGTGTGAAGATCGCTGTCTTCTCCTACCCTGTCTTCTTCTGGCTGAAGTAGAGGATTTCTCGGTCAGTGCCCAGGCTGCTGCTGGGCTCCCTGGTCTTCACTGGTCTGACAGTCATCTCATCAGCCATTGGGACTAGAATTCTTATGGCTCCCCGAGTTCCCAAGGAAACAGCATCCTGGCTGATACAGTACAGCCCTTCTATTGGTGTTTTATTCTACCTCGTGCAATGCTTACGTGGTCAGTCCCATTCCTCCTGTTCTTGGTGTCCATGCTCTTGCTCATGTTCTCACTGTGCCAGCACTTGGGGCAGATAAGGGACCATAGACTGGGCCCACGTGATCCTAGCACACAGGCTCACACCATGGCCCTGAAGTCACTTGTCTTCTTCCTTGTCTTCTATACCTCATATTTCCTGTCTCTGATTGTTGTTTCTATGAACATCACAGCCTTTCAGAGTCACTGGTACTGGGCCTGGGAAGTGGTGACCTATGCAGGCATCTGTCTGTACTCCAGCATCCTGGTGCTAAGCACCCCTAAGCTGAGAAAGGTCCTGAAGACCAGGCTTTGGAAAGCTCTGGACAAAGGCTGGTCTGTCTCAAGTTCTCAGTATCAATAATCATTATCTGTGGACAAGCCCATGAGTGGTGAGAAGCTGTAAAGTTTGGGCACTGTCCTTCTCTCTTTTCATTTCCCTCTTTCTTTCCTACTCCTTCCATGCCCTATTAATTCTTTTTGCACCCCTCTCTGTTCCTGCCATTCCATCCACTGCTCCTAGCACCCAGTGTGTGTCCCAAGCCACCCTAGGCTGGTATGTTGGCCTCATTGCCTCATAGACCTCTCATACCCTCTATATGAGCAGCCATTATAAAGCTCTCCAAGCATCCTTTGGGTCAGACTGCTTTTTGGAGACCTGTAATGGTTGTCGGTTGTCTCTGTGGTCAACCTGAAGTGTTTTTTTTAATGGTGGCATAGATTGTCCTACACCATTCCACACACAACTTCCCTCCTCACTACTGTTCTGCTGTCAGCTCAGTCTCTCCACTCCAGCCCAGTAAAGATTCTTTCCATCTCCCCACATCTCCACATCTTCTTCACTCTAGCCTGTGGTCATTTGTCCCATCTGGAACTTCCTTCTTTCCTTTGTCTGCCATTGTCCATTCCCTTCTTTTGTGCCCAGCTTATGACTGATTCCACCCATGGAGTCTTTTCAGTTTGATCCCATGGAAGGCTGAGGGTGTATAGGAGTTTCCCACCACTCTAGGCCCTGCCCATGATATTGCATGTTTGCTATATGTTGAATTAAAAAGAATTGTCTGATGTGAAAATGCTTTTAGGTTTTGGCCAACAGAAGATAGAGAAGGAAAACAAAGTAAGTTTGCTACTGTTCTTAATTTTGATAATCCTTCCCTTCCTGTCTGCTCACCCAGGAGGTGGATCCTGAATGCCAGTGCCTAGGATGTAAGTCTCCAAATTGGGGTGTTTGCATCCCAGAGTTGTGTGCACAATGATCCACTGAATGTGGAAAGAAAAGTGTGGCAACTCCAATTTCCACTTATTTTTATCTCATCCTTTTAGTTCCTTTTTTTGTGTATATATTTTATGATGTACAGAATATATTAGTAAAGTACACATGCATGTAGTTAAATAAATATGCATATGGTTGGATTCATGTCTTAAATTTGTTTTGCTGATGGAATTAATTTTAAAAACGTATGTAGACCAAAAGACTAGAAAAGGGTTGGGTGGGAGCAGTGAAGGCAAGAGCAGCAGCGGTATCTGTATCCACAGACCACTCATCTGGAAGCACCTGGAAGACTGCCTTGCCATGTCTACTGTTTCCTGGAACAGTGGAGTTCCAGAACTGTACTGAATGTCTTGGGTGGGGAGAGGATGGTGATGTGACTCTAATGTCCTGCGACATGTTCACAGCCCTTTGAGTTATGCCAGGTCTAGTGGGCTTATCTCAGGACAACCTTCTTGATTGGTTGATGTTCTTAACCTCCTTTCCCTAGGTTTTAGCTCATAAGAGCCCCCAAACACTTGGTGGCTCCATCTTGACCAAAAACATAACCCAGTTTCTCATCCTGACTTTCAAGGCTTTCTGTGGACTCTTCCCAGCCTGATACGCCACCATTCCCTTTGCTGTAGCCAAACTTGTCTGATTATTCCCTAGACATAAGGAAATTCCATCTCTGTCAGTGGCCCATGTCTCCTTCCTTGCAACATACAAGACAGCGTCTTTCTTGGACCCCAATGAAGGCTCTGCTGCTGCTATGCCCACTGAGCTCTTCTCAGAGTTCTTGGTGGGAACAGAATGCCGTATAACATTTCCAGCTGCAGCCTGGGAGTCCTCCCACTTTATCCCTCTCCGAGAGAGTCCTTGAGGTATGTGTTTCCCACATAGAGAATCTACTCCGGATTCCTACCTGTACCATCCCCACCATTACACGTATAAAGACCAGCTGTGAAAACTCAGAATTCTCAGACTTGGCTCCCACCTGAGAGAATAAGTCTGAATATGAGGAAGTAACATGCAGTGAACAAATAAAAAGCACAAACAACAGAAGAATCACTACAAAACACATTGCGTATTTCAATGCAAATGGTTATTTACCTTTTTGGATTAGCTTAATCTGCACAAAGTGTGTGGCCAGTTAATGTTGTGGTTTATGATTGGTGCATGAAAACACTCTGAGGGCAGGTACCTAGTTCACCGTTGTAGCCCCAGTGCCTTTCACAGGGTCCTTATGACATGGGAGATGCCTCGTAAATTGTTGTTGAATGAATCTTTTCAGTTGTACAAGCCATCGAAGATGTAGGAAGTGAATGGGAAGGACGAGCTTCCATACTGAGAGGTCTATGACTGGCCAAACTCCAGAACTGGGAGTTCATAGTTTGCCCCATTGCTCCAAGGTCCAGTAGGAAATGGCCAAATGTCAGCCAGAGGAACAAGGCTGAGGAAGAGAGCAGTTGGGAGCTCTATCTCCTGAAGATTTGCATCTTCACAGAAAGACAAGGTGAAAAAATACCTTGGTTCACTATCTCTCCTTTCTCTAGGAACACAGTATTCACCATAGCAAGGACTCTGTATTGGAAGAACAATTCTGCCTGGATCTTTGTTCCAGGTGGACTGGGACCTGGAAGGAGATGCTATGTTTTCTGCATTCTGTTCTCTATGGGGTTGTATGCATGGAACTGGTAGGATATAGTGCTGGCCAGGACAGGAATGTACTATAAAATACTCCTTCACTCTCATGTTACTTTATCTTGAGCCTTCAATATTGCCATATATGACCCAGAATAATTTCTCCTTGCCTATCTCCCTGTAGAAAAATTAATCTGCTTATCACTCACTTGGGTAAGTACTCACTTAATTGATTTTTTTTGACTCTTGGAACATCATTCCTATGAAAAATATAACTTTTGCTTACTCTGCCTTCCTCTGGTTAAAGTAGAGGGTACAAGAGTTGGTGCTCTTACTTCTACTGCATCTCTGATGCTCTCCTGAATTCTCCTTGGACTACTTGTCCCTCTACAGGATGGATGGAATGGCAGGTAGTTATTATAGTAACAGCTGTCATCATCACCTTAATTCTTCCTTATGCTTATGCAGATAATATAGATACATATTCACATATATTTGTGATCCATATATTTTATAGGTGAAGAAAGAGGCGTTCAGAAAGATTAAATGACTAGTCTGAAGATCCATAGATAGTGATTGTGACAAGACTCAAAACCTGGTCTCTGACTTCAGCTGAGGATGAAGATCAGAGTAAAGGATGTGTTGCTAACTATGGCAGAGATCTCTGGTCCTGGAATCAGTTTGGGTCTTGGTCTTTCCTCCATGTAACTATGACCTTAGTTGAGACTCTTAATCTATAATCATTTCTTTCTTTTATAATATTATTTTAATGTTTTCTTTCACTCTAAAAGCTGAGATTGTAGTCTTAGATTCTAGTTCAATCTTGACTTAGAACAGATAATACTTGGGGTACCTGGCTGGCACAGTTAGAAGAGCATGTGATTCTCTATCTGGGGGTTGTAAGTTCAAGCCCCATGGTGGGTGTAGAGCTAACTTAAAAAAAACAAACAAACAACAGATAGGGACACCTGGGTGGCTCAGTCAGTTAAGCATTTGCCTTTGGCTCAGGTCATGATCCCAGGACCCTGGGATTGAGTCCTGCGTTGGGCTCCTTGCTCAGTGGGGAGCCTGCTTCTCCTGCCTGCTGTTCCCCCTGCTTGTGCTTTCTCTCTCTCTCTTTCTCTCTGACAAATAAATAAATACATCTTAAAAAAAAAAAACCCAGATACTTTTTGCATCTTACAGATGGAGAAATTGAGGTACAGAGGGACTAACAACATACTCAGTAACTCATGGTGAGTCATTGTCCTGGGTTCTTTCTGCCACATCCCATTGGTTTTATTGCTATCCCAGTAGGGGTTCCTTCATGAAATGCCACTTAGGTCACTAATTATAAAATGTTGTAACAAAAAAGTCACCTGCCTGAAAATACATAATTGTCTCCTGTGTTCTTTTTGATGCTGATGGTCATGACAAGTTATAGGACTTGTACTAAACTCTTTTAGTAGAGGTTTAGCTCATTTTTCTATTGGAGTATTCCAAAAGCACCTATTTCATAAGGTCGTAGTGAGAACTAACACAGTGGAGAACACTTAGAACAATGCCTGGAATGAACAATCAACCAGCGAATGTGAGCTCTGACTGTTGACAGAGGATTTCCTCACAGAGCTGCCAGCAGGTGTGCGGTCATGTAGGTGTCAACTTAGAGGAGTAGAACCTAAATGCGAGTGCCTGCCTGGTATATTATTCACACCAATGTTGACATGGGCAGAGGAAGGGCAGGGAAATTCAGGGGCAGGCAGGGGGACTTTTGAAACTGAGCCTTAGCAATATTTGCATCTGTTCTGAGAAGAAGAAACTCTTTACCCTCAGGAGTTGGCCCATGTCCTCTACTCTGTCCTCTACACTTGGGGGCAGCTGGAGGGGCAAACGTCATGCAGGACCTTGCAGAGCCAACGAACAGGAATAGACCTTGAAGTCTTGGGACCCATCTTGTCCACAGGAGAGATGAATGGAGATGACATGGTTCCAGAACCTCCAGTGACTGACTGATAAGAGAGCCATCACCCTGGCTATCATTTCATTTCATTTTATTTTTTTGTTCCTGGGGACAGCAGTGAGCAACGGCTTCTTCATCACTGTAACACTGAGCATGGAGTGGTTGCTACAGAGAACACTGTTAACCTTGTGATAAATTATTAGTCAGCCTGGGGGCCTCTTGCCTCTGTCTGCAGTGGGTGGTGATGAGGAAGAGCATTTATATTTTCCTGTATCCAATGGCCTTCCCATACAACCCTGTACTGCAGTTCCTAGCCTTCCAGTGGGACTTACTGAACACTGCCACCTTATGGTTCTTCACCTAGCTCAGCGCTTTCTGTTGCGTGAAGACCGCAACCTACACCCTCCCCATCTTCCTCTGGCTAAAACAGAAGGTGTCTGGCTTGGTTCCATGGATGCTGCCTAGTTCCTTGGGACTCTCCAGCTTGAGCACCATCCTCTTTTCATAGGCAACCAGAGCTTATATTACTACTTTTTAAGGAGAGGGTTGCAGTCTTGGAACGCCACTGGGAATACTATAAGATCATATGAGAAATCCTACTTCTCTTTAAAACTTGTTGCCTGGACAGTCTTTACTCTTGTCTTCCCTTTTTTTTTTTTTTTTTTTTTTAAGATTTTATTTATTTATTTGACAGAGAGAGACACAGTGAGAGAGGGAACACAAGTGGGGAAGAGGGAGAAGCAGGCTTCCCACCGAGCAGGGAGCCCAATGCGGGGCTTGATCCCAGGACCCCGCGATCATGACCTGAGCTGAAGGCAGACGCTTAATGACTGAGCCACCCAGGTGCCCCAACTCTTGTCTTCCTTGTTGGCATGGTTTTGCTCATGTCTCTAGAAAGACACACTAAGAAGGCCCTGCTGTCCATCCTGGCTTTCGTGACCCCAGTGCCCAGCCACACATCAAGGTTCTCCTGGCTCTCATCTCCTTTGCTAGCCTCTTCTCCTATTTTCTTCATGGTGCTCAGCATTGCAGGTGTTTTTCCATCTTGGAATTTAGGCACCGGGTGTGGCAGGCAGTGATTTATCTATGCATAGCTGTCCACTCCATCAGTGCTCTTGAGCAGCCCTAAGCTGAGAGGGTTGCTGGAGGGGGGCTGCTGTGTTGCAATTAATGAAAAACCTCAGACTCTACTGCAGAAGGCATGGTGCAATGGGACATGGCTTCTTTAAATCTCTTCGCCACTTTTAACGCTCTTTTCCTCTCTGCTACATTTAATGATGAGGAGAATAACTTCAATGAAATAGGATTTCAAGGTGAGATCGAAGGTCCTGAGATAATGGGCTGGCGTCACTGATTTACACTCAGCAAGCGTGTAGCTAATGCAGCTTTGTTCCCTGTGGGACTTGATGTGGCCAAAGAATCAGGAAACTTTTATTTTCCCTGTGATCAATCTCTTGGAGTTTAAAATTATCCCTTCCCCTCTCTTCCTTCCCCTTCCCTTCCCCTCTCCTTCCTCTTCCCTTCCCGTTTCCTTCCCCTCCCCTCCCCTCCCCTCCCCTTCCCTTCCCTTCCCTTCCCCTCCCCTTCCCGTTTCCTTCCTCTTCCCCTTCCTTCCCCTCCTCTCCTCTCCTTTTCTTTTCTTTCTCTCTCTCTCTCTTTTTTTAAATCACTTCCCTGTTTTCCAGCCATCTGTTGCAGTGAAGACTTCTGTGCAAGAGTTCCTGGTGTCTGAGCTCTCTTCACAGAGCATGGTCAATTTGTGCATGTGTGTGGCAGTATGTATTATCTGGGATTTGTATATTTGCAGATGACCCTTGGAGATCCCTATGAAAGCTAGGGGTTTCTGATTTCTATATATTGCTTATGTTCTCTGCAGTAGCCTACTCTCTTAGTCTGTTTTGTGAATGTTAAAGTCCATGAACCCAGAGGTGATTTCTTTTATGCTGATATTGAGACCTACTGAAATTTTTGATGGGGGAGGTTCATCTATATCTGACAAGATTTAAGAAGAAAAGACTTGGGTTTGGTTTGGTGAAGAGTGCAGGCTGCTTTTCTGCCTTCCATAGATCTTCTCAAACCTTCCTTAAGCTCAATTACCTCTTGAACCATTCAAACTGAGGTCCCTAACCTTCCCTCTATTTGCTTTAAAACCTGTAAAGCCTCATCTCCTCTTTTTCACTAGAAGACAGGTTTTCTAGAAGACCTGCTGTTGGCTTTTCATGGCTCTTTTTGCTTCTTTCCTATGCCCTGCTCAGTCAAGGATTCCCACTTCTATGTGAATCTTCAAACTTTCCCTCTTCATTGTCCTTACTTTCCTCAACAAATGTGCATCTTATCTTCTTTCCTGAAAAAATCCCCCCAATTCTTTTACCCCCTCAAGTGGCCACTCTGCTAATTAGTCACTTGCTGAGAATCACCCACCACCACCTCATGACCCCTTACAATCCTCTTCTGCTCCCCCATTCTGTTCAAATGTGTTTCTAAAGGACACAAAGGAGTTCCTAATTCCTAAATGTGATGTTATCCTCAGCCCGCATCTTCTTTTTAAGTTTATTTATTTATTTAAGCAATACTCTACACCCAGTGTAGGGCTCGAACACACAACCCCAAGATCAAGAGCCACAAGCTCTTCCGACTGAGCCAGCCAGGCACTCCATCAGCCCTCATCTTATGTCTCTACGGTATTTGCTTCTCTTCATAATAAGTGATTTCTTTAAAAAATATACTGATTAACAATACTTTTACAAAAGTAAAACCTGATCTTGATAGAAGATTTTTAAAAAAGGAAAATGAGCACCACTCATAATTGCCAATTATGAGTCCTGTGATGCTGTACTAGGTTCTCCCCGCTCTGCTGCTCCTCTTATGTCTTCCTCATACCTGCTCATCCTCCTGCCCCCTGGCTCTTTCCTTAGCCAGCCGTCTTCTTTGTCAGGGATTCATCTGCTCCTTTTTCTTTTGTGTTTACATCTGTTCACATAGCTTCATTTATGACCTTCATGCGAGTAATCAATCATCAGAACTTTGACCTTCCTCAGAACTCCAAACCTCTCTTTTCTTCCACTTCGGGCATCGCCACCGGATAGTACCATGAACATTTCAAATTTAGTGAGTTCTAAATGGATGTCTTTTCCCCTCTTCCTTTCCCTCCACCAACCCCCTTCACTGCTCAGTTGGATCTATTTCTTCTATTATTTATATCCAGTAAATCAGGCTTACCACCTCTGAGATAATTTTCACTCCCCATCTCTGCTGAGCCCTTGAACCTAATTAACAGCTTGTCTTCAATTGCTACCTCTGCAGTATCTCTATTGTCTGTCCCCTTCTTCCCATTTCTGTGGATTCTAGTTTAGATTAGACTGCCCTCCTCTCTCATTGGGACTGCTAAAATTTCTTCTTCACCACTTGCTCCATTACACTTTCCCCTCCCTCCCAATCAAAACTACCATTACCAGATTCATCTCCTGAAGGCATAATTAACCATTCCACCCACTCTCTCACTTCCTCTCAGTGTCTAGAAATGAAGCTTGGGTCCCTAAACCTGGCATTCACAAACCTCCACAATATGGCAATAATTTTATCTTTCTCTGTGTCTATTCTAGTAAAATACAATTTTGTAGCAAAATCTGGATTAACCTTGTTCCCAACATACCTGGAGCTTCCTCCCTGACATACTGAAATGTGCTCTCTTATCCCCCCATCTACCAGTGAAAATCCTATATAATTTTTCTCCCTATTTAACTTTTAAAGGTTAATCCAAATGGCTTCTCTTTAGGGAAGCTTTTCTGGTTTGCTACCCCCCAAGCTTTGCTCTCTCTGACCTTTGAAGACATATAAATGGGGTGTTCCTCAGTCATGAGATGAATTCTGTTTTTTTTTAAAGATTTTTATTTATTTATTCATGAGAGACAGAGAGAGAGAGAGGCAGAGGGAGAAGCAGGCTCCCAAGGAGCAGAGAGCCCGAGGCGGGACTCGATCCCAGAACCCTGGGATCATGACCTGAGCCGAAGGCAGACGCTTAACCATCTGAGCCACCCAGGCGCCCATGAATTCTGTTTTGTGGTGGAATGATCTATATTCATGTTTTATTCTCCCTAGTATATTTTTTAATTCTTTTTTTTTTTTTTAAGATTTTATTTATTTATTTGAGACAGAGAGAATGAGAGACAGAGAGCATGAGAGGGAGGAGGGTCAGAGGGAGAGGCAGACTCCCTGCCGAGCAGGGAGCCCGATGCGGGACTCGATCCTGGGACTCCAGGATCATGACCTGAGCCGAAGGCAGTCGCTTAACCAACTGAGCCACTCAGGCGCCCTATTTTTTAATTCTTTTTAAAGGATTTTATTTATTTATTTTAGAGAGAGAGTGCGAGTGGGCAGGGCAGAAGGAGAGGGAGAGGCAGAGAATCCTAAGCAGACTCTGTGCGGAGCGTGGCGCTGGACATGGGGCTCAATCTTATGACCCTGACATCATGACCTGAGCTGAAACCAAGGGTCAGATGCTTAAGTGCATGAGCCACCCAGGCACCCCTTCCTAGTATATTTTAAAGTATTTGAAAGCATTGGCTGCCTTGTATTCTTCTATGTGTCCCCTGAAGCACTTGTAAATACTTGATACATTGAGCAGAGTAATTCTACGGCACCTGGAACTCAGCCATAAGCACATGGACTTTTGTCTGTATATTTATTTCCAGGCTACCTACTACATTTTTAAGCTGATGTTTGAGCTGTATTTCCTTTGCTGACTGGCCAGCTTATTTTTGGAGGTCAAACTTATATTCTGTTTCTCTTTGACTAATGCTCAATGTAGAAATAATAAATGAGTAAGTGAGAGTAAGATATGCCTGATTTTGTGATGGCTTTACCTTGCTTCTTTCTTGTTCATTTACATGTTGCTAAGCAACTGTGAATGACTAGCTTAGCTCCTTCCTATGGGAATCTCAGTGAAGTGCCACTTCTCTTTGTTACTGACCCAGTCTCTCTTTCCAAAGCATCCTGTATAAGCTAATCTTTGTTTCTTCCTCTTTTCACATTGTTAGCCTAGGAGAACAGAACATCTACTAGAATCTGAATGATCTCCCCACAGGGACTAGTTCTCCCGGAGCTTGAACACACAGGGAAGCATAGAAGAGTAGCAGGGTTTGTTATATTTTTAAAATGCATAGTTAACTTATTATTATCATTAACTTGCCTGTAGTCCAATTTCATCATGCATTATGATGATGTTAATAATAATTATGAATGCCTATTTTATGTGAGGCATAGGATTAGGAAATTTATTTACTTATATCCCTTATATATTTAATTCTGAAAACAACACTGCAAAGTAGAAACTGAGGCTTAGAGAAGTTTACTGAGGTCTCATGGCCAGTGAATGATGGAAGTAGAATACCTTAATGCTATAGCCTTTAAGACAGTGTGGTATTGATGCAGGGATGGATAAATGCATCAATACACAGTCCAGATAATAGTTACATGGAAAATTATATGTGATAAGTAAGGCATCTTAAATCAGTGAGGGAAAAAATGGTCACTTCATAGTGTTGCAGTATATTGATACTACAGTTGGAAAAACAAAAATATAGTTAGAGCCAATATTTTATCCTAAATTGCGGATAGATTATTTTAGT